TTTTAATATTTTAAATAATGTAACTTATGTTACATTATTAATCTTAAATTTTAATCCCAAATTTTCATCCTATTTATCATTATTCTTAATACTACCTATTTCTACATTTTTTCCCCATCTCTATATATCCCTTCCCATTTAGGCTTTATCAGCCTTTGAACCAGAGACCTTTGGGCCAGGAAACTAAATTCCCAGCCGACGGGCCTATGGGTGTTTCGGCCTTCAACAGAACTATGAGGTTGGTCCTTGGAGATGAGCTTTTTGGGCTTTTATTAATTCTTGTGCACGTGGGACCCAAATCATTGTCTTCGGTCTCTTCGCATTTGCCCTTTCTTTCGGCCAATGCCTTTAGAATCAATAAAACATGAAAAATGAAAAATAAGAAATTTTATACTCCATACTTTCATCTTAGTTCTCTCATTTTTAACTCTACACATATTTAAAAATTTTAAGATTGATTAAAATTTTATAATTAAGTGTTAACATAACACATTTTTTAAAGTAAAGAGTAAATTTGTATTACCTAAAATATATTGATACAAAGGCTCACAATTCATTTAAAAAAATTATCATTTAGTTATGTGTAGAATAAATAAGGCAATCAAACAATGATAACTAACAAAGCATTTTTTTACCTTTATAAATAAATTTAAATAATAGGAATAAATTTGAAAAAATAACATTTAATGTCTTATTTAAATAAAAAATAAAACAACTAAATTAAAACATTTAAATTTAATAAATAAGACAACTAAATTGAAATAGATAGAATATCATTTTTTTAAACTAAATATGCTCTAAAGTAATAATAATGATAATTTGGTAAGATAAAATGTTTATTTTTAAATTATTAAAAACTACTAAGAAGGTAAGATAAACGGCAGGAGAAAATATCATAGGAAGAATGTGCATTAATTCGCTTTTAAGTATCATTTAGTTTGAGAAAAATGGAGTTCTTCTTCTATTCCTCTTTTCATCTAATTCTTTTTTTTTTTTAATCTAAATAAACAAGGTTTCTCCTTCTCCTTAAAATCAAACACACTATATAAACGAAAACTATATCATTCCGCCAAATGACATAACCACTAAAAAGTTATGTTTTTTGTATTTTATTTTTTATTTTTTTGGAGAGAAGTTAGTTAAATTCTTTTTCTATTCCTCTTTTCTTCTAATTTTTTTTTTAATCTAAATAAAGAAGGTTTCTCCTTCTCCTTAAAATCAAACACACTATATAAACGAAAACTATATCATTCCGCCAAATGACATAACCACTAAAAAGTTTTATATATATATATATATATTTTTTAAATTTTGGAGAGAAGTTAGTTATCCTATTAAACTTAAACATGGTAGTGGTAGTGTAATCAAAGTTATCTTTATAAGAATTTTTATAATGTATTCATTTTCTTTTCAGTTAGGCTTATAATAACGTTGGAGCCTTTTAATTCTTTTTTTTTTTTTAATAATTATGTTGCGGGTATCATAATATCATACACATGCTTAGCATCCTGTTTATTAGAAACCGTCAGTACAATACTCTGCCACTAAAAGAATTTTATTTTTTATTTTTTGTGGATCCGTCACTAAAGGATTTACTAATGTACTATTGGGAGTAGCATGTTGGAGTGTTGGGAATGCAGTATGCAAGTTATAGGGGAAGATTAACAGAATCTTCTTTTGGGGCGCTCGTGTTTATGCCCAGGTAACAATAGTCTCAATTTCAAAGCATTTCACTTTATTGATATTAGTAACTGCTTCTAATTCTTGGAAATAATATACTTTCAGGGTTGGATTAAAGAGTCAAAGCAAGGTTACAAGCAATTTGACCTAGCAAACCAATGTACCCACATAGGTTAGACATTCATACTTTACTTCTCCTTTCTATTTACATTTGTTAATTAATTATCATTGATTAATATTTAGATTTTGGATAATAATTAATATATTTTCTAATTTAATATACTATATAATATATTCATTAAAAAATTATCAATTTCAAATTTAAATTAAAGGCAAAAAAAGTTAAAAATTATAGATTTTAATAACTATACTAATAAATATTATAAGATGTGTTGAATTAAAAATGTATCAATTATTTTTCATTATTACATCATGACGTCATGTATCTTACTAAAAATCACTTGATCAGGCACAGGACATTGGGAAGGCAACAAACGAATTTATTCAATGGGAGTTGAAGATGGACTATATATATGACTATAATTTTCATCTCTTGAATGAGTATGCCAAACTCTTGAGGTTCAAGCCTCTAGTGCTTAAAAATGTAGTTGGACTCTGCTAAGAGTATATGTCTTGTCAGGACAAAGGATTAGAGAAGAAATTTATGATGGAATCCCTAGTGAAGAGTTCTTCAGACACAAACCCATATGGGATTCCGCCTCCTAATGACCCTGCTTCTCTTAATAAAATGCTCAGGACAAAGAATCACTAAAACAAGTAGATCCATGGGAGAAAAATTTTTGGCAAAACCAACAAGAGGAAAACAAACAGGGGTAAAGAGAGTATTGAATAATTCTATAATTTCATAATATACAAATTAGTATTAAACAAGCTTGGCTTATTTTTCCCCTATTTATATAGAACAAGAATAATTTAACCTCAAACATTGATAGTAAATACTCCCCATAAACTAGAGACAAACAAAGAGTACACTAACGAGAATTAGAAAAACTTCACATAATACAAACAAGCACGCTAATTTGAAACATAATTTAGTAACAAATGTAGCATCAACATATTCCATATATAACTTACTGATCACTTGGGTTACCACTGAATATCTTTAATTGTGCCACTTTCAAATTCATTTGGGTTGCCATTGAACATCTTGAATTGTGCCACTTTCAATTTTATAACCATAAGGATCTAGTTTTTGATATCATCCACCCATCAGAAATAAGCACATCTCCAGCTTTGCATAACAATCAAAGTTCCCAAAACGCCCCAACATCTAGTTGCAAAGCCTAACATCACAACAATATAAACCACAAATCTTCACACACACCTTCATCATTGTCCTTAGAGCCAATAATTGTCGAAGGCAACACATCATCTGGGCATTTCTTTAGAAGTGGAGCTCCACCAAGTTGAGGGTTGCCAACATAAATAGTTGGATCATCAAGTGTTTAGAGTTGATTGCCTTTTGGAATTGACCATGACAAGTTGTTGTACGACAAGTTGAGGTGGCTCAACTTAGTTAAACTTGATATGTTGTTCGGGATCAGTCCTGAAAGGTCATTTTGGGAGAAATCAATAGATTTTAAATTCTCCATTTGTCCAATATTGTTAGGGATGTTTCCCGAGAGGTGATTCCATGACAGATTCAAATTGTGCAATCCTTGAAGAAAAACTAGTTCATTAGGAATGAATCGTACTAGATTATTACTCGAAAGATCTATACTACTCTCGAGTCCTAGTGGTTTTTTTGTATACTCAAGGTATCTCCCTTTCACAACTTCCATCAAATGAGTCCAATGCCAACATTCTCCATCCATGTAAGGGATCAATTGTGTTGCATTCACCATAATTGAGAAATTTCCAAAACAAGGAAGAATTGTTCCTGTCAGATTATTATCTGCAAGATCTAGAATTTGCAATTGAGAGAGCAAGCATAGTTCTAAAGGAATATTACCAGAAAATAAATTTTTTTTGTAGTCGAAGAACCTTTAGAGAGTGGACCTCATGCTCCCCAATCCATGTTATGTTTCCAGAGAATTTATTCTTGCCCAAATCCAAAACCACCAAAGAACTAAAGTTTTTCAAAGCCATATGTAGTTCCCCATAGAGACTATTGTTGTTCAACTGAAGTACATGTAAAAAATTAAGCTTCCCTATTGTGTTTGGAAATAAACCTAAAAGATTGTTAAAAGATAAATCCATAAGATAGAATGCTTGATCACTTCTCTAACAATCAAGAAGACTTCCAGATAACATATTGTTTGAGAGATCAAGAAACTCAAAAGTTTTTTAATTGCACAGTGACTTTGGAATTGAACCAGTTGTAAGGTTATCTGTAAAAAGTAAGTGTCTTAACTTAAGCATCATATGACTGATGTTTTATGGAAGAGGTCCTAAGATGCTAGCATTTGAGAGATAAATCATGTATGTTGTGTTCTGCAATTGAAGCCATTCAGGAAATCCTGTTCCAAATTTACAAGATTGCATCCCAATGTATTGAAGGTGGAAAAGAGGTCTCCAGTATGATTTCATCTCACAATTCAAGTTGTTAAACCCAATGGACAACTTTATCAACTTGAATAAGTTGGCAAAGTGAGCTTCTAAAATGACACCTTCCAAAGAATTTTATGCAACATCCAAGACTTGCAAATTTGAAAGTTTACTAATACTTTGGAACTGCCCCATTCAATTTATTTGAAGAAAAGCTCAAATACTCTAGGTTAGAAAGTTGCCTAATATTATCTAGAATACTCCCATTCAATTGATTGTAAGAAAGATGTATGTGCTTTACCTTGGAAAGTTGCCCAATGTTATCTGGAATACTCCCACTCAATTCATTCTCAAAAAGATTTAATTTTTGAAAGGCCAACAACTTCCCAATCCACATAGGAATGGTCCCATTCAACTTATTCATTGAAAGATCCAACTCTCTTAAAGATGAAATTGTCCCAAGAGAACTTGGGATTGGACCGACAAATGCATTTGAGCTAAGATTAAGGTATCTTAACCTTTTGAGCTCCCCTAACCAACCAGGCATAAGACCACTTACCTTATTTTCTCCTAAAATCCATTGTCTCTAATTCATATCTGGAGCATTCGGATGAATTTTCAAGAACACCTAACATCTCACCTTCAAGTTCATTTGATGTCAAAAATAATGATTTTAAGCCACACAAATTTCTTAAGATTGATAGCAACAATACTTCTGTAATATTACCACCAAAATGGTTCCTTGAAAGATCAAGAAATGTCAAGGAAGTCATGTTTTGGAGAAAAATAGCTATTGGACCTTGAAAAGAGTTTCGTGAAAGATCAAAGTGTTGAATTTTGCCAAGAAATGTAAATTAAAGGGATGGCTACTAGATGGTAGGTCAGAATTTTTGAGACTACAGCTTGACAAACTTAACCATGACACTAAAGGAAGCATGCCAAGTACTTGGAACAAGTTTGATGATGTGAGGATTAGATTTACTGCACTCATATCAAGAAATGTCAAGGAAGTCATGTTTTTGGAGAAAAATAGATACTAGACCATGAAAAGAGTTCCATGAAATATCAAAGTGTTGAATATTTCCAAGAAATGTAAAATTAAGGGGATGAATATTAGATGGTAAGTGAGAATTTTTGAGACTACAACTTGATAGACTTAACCATGATAACGAAGGAGGCATGCCAAGTACCTTGAACAAGTTCAATGATGCAAGCCTTAAATATACTCCACTCATAACAAGTTGTTGCAGAAAGGAGAGATGAGAAATCCACTGAATGTCATCATCAACCTTCAATGCTCCACCATAATAGTCAGCAAGATCAAGAACACAAAGCCTCGTAAGGTTTCCAAGTTCACCAGGAATTCTTCCTCTAAAATGAGCATTAGAGAGATTTAGGTACCTTAGCTGCTTCATCAAGCCAAAGGAGTGCAGAATAAGGCTTTTGTTGAAGTAGTTTCCGCTCAAGTCCAGGTGTTCCAAGTATTTCAGCTTGAGCAAAGTCGAAACAACCTCCTCAACATTGTCAATCAAGTACAGTTGAGGTTAATCAAATATTGATCCCTTAAGTTGAAGTGAGACAACATGTCTGCTATTTTTGTCGCAGCCTACTCCTCTCCATTCACAATAGTCATTGCCTTTCCAAGAAGACAACATATGTGATGGATCATGGAAACAAAGTTTCAACTTCAAGAGGGCTTCTCTCTCTCTTTCTATACAGCCAAAGCTCGTGTTTCGACGAGCACAGAACTCTGTACCTCCAAAGAACAATACAGCAGCTAGAACAAGCATAGCATGGAAAATTTCCCTCATGATTATGGTTTCAATATTGTATGGAAGATTAGATGTGATCTTTAATCTAGGCCGCACATCAATATATACAGTCCCACGGAAATGTAAGTAGAACAACTATCCCCTAAAGTTACTCTAAAGAAAAAGATTCCGAGTGAAGTACGTAATTAAAGCAGCCTCTTTTTGCTTTTCGCAATCTTGATGATTCGAGTTCTTTTGCCAAGACTGATTAAAGCAGCCTCTTTTTGGTCGTACTTGGAACACTTTTTGGTCATTTTTTTCGAAAAGCAAAAGTTTTATTCCCAGAGTACAATCTGATTAATCCTTTTACTCAACCCATAACAAATACAAAAATAGTATATTAGAAAACAGTATATTAGAACTTAGAAGTCCTTCTGGTCTCAAATCTATTTAATTAATTTGTGCGAAGACACGTTTTACAGTTCTTATGCTACTGTTGTGCAACGTGAAGGCGAGAAAAGCCCATCTTTGCCCCCACAATACAAAGTTTTAGAGGTCTTGTACAGTTGTACTGCTATTATGCACCGTGGAGATGGGGCAGTCTGGGGGAAATGGCTTTCAATTCTTGAAGCAATCTTATTGGTCCGTGAAAAATGATTTTCTGAATACCAATATATGACATACACATTTTCCTTCCTAAATATATACTTGAGAAAGAACCTTTTTCTTTTTTTTACTAGAAAGCAGTAGTTTTTTTTTTTCCCTAAAAAGCTTTACTAAAAATGTAAGTGAGAATATCATTTTTACTTTTAGTGCCAATTAATTACAAAAAAATATACATAAGTGAAAAAATAGAAAATATGTATAAAATAAGAGAAATCAAATTATATGTCATGAATATTACATTAATTGAACTAAATGGGTTAAGTATAATAAAACTAATGCAATAACAGACAAGCAAAGAAGTCCACAATACAAACAAACAACAGTACTCTCACAAAGAATGTGATTGTAGGAAAATGGTGACCGTTGGACGGCGTGTATAAACAAGTACTCTCCTAAACAGCCATTTTGCCTAAGTTCGCAAGCTTCATTTCCAGCAAACAATAAAAGGAAATGGGTAAAACATATAAGGCAGAATACTAAAATCTAATCTTAAGCTAAGTAATAGAAGCAAAATCACTTAAAATAAAAAATAAACATAAATTTACTCATAAAATTTGTAATTTGAATAAATAATTTAAAATTTAACATATGATATTATATAATATAAAGGGTTAAAGCCAACTATAGTCCCTCTACTTTCCTTTTTCGTTCATTGTCCTCCCTATACTTTGAAATTGTTCAAAAGCCTCCCTCTACTTTCCCAAAACATACTACTGTCCTCCCTCTACTTTCAATTTTCATACTAGTTACCTCTCTCACCTAACACCGTTACTAACACTAACACCCATTTAGGTTAAAACCAATTATAGTCCCTCTACTTTTATTTTTCATTTATTGTCCTCCCTGTACTTACATTTCATTCAAAGTCCTCCTATAAAATTCTTGCATAGCTTATTTACTTCATTAATTAAAACAGTAACCCACAGTGTATTTTCCTATGATTAATCAACTAATTAAAACTAGGGGTACATGACTTATAATCACATCCTAAAGTGTCTTTTTTTTTTGTTTTTTTTGGTCCATTACATCTTAAAGTGTTAGGCATTATTTGTTAGTAATATGTTATATTGTATCATAATTATAAGTTGTCTTTTATTATTTTAAAAATATATTAAAATTAATCAACAATATTATAGTTATAATGTCACATAGATTATAAATTTATAATTATTATGTAACATTAAATGAGTGTAACATATCAGTGAATGCATATAATACCACATGTGGATCTTAAGTGAAAATAGTTAATTATATAACAATATATTATATTGTAAACTTATAATATCATATAACGTTATAATTATATTATTTTCTAAAATTAATAAAAGTACATAAAAATTAATTAAAATTGATTAATAATAATCAAATTGTATTTTAGATAAAATGCTAAATGAAAAAGGTTTATGAAAAGCATCGTTAAAAAAAATTTTAATATCATACAAAAGTATTACATTTTCAACTATATTTATACTTTGTTTGACAATGCTATGCTATATTCATAAATATTTTGTCCTTTACTATTGTAAAAATATATTAAAAATTAATTAAAATTAACAAATTTACATTTTAGACAAAATACTATTAAAAAAATGTAAGAAGCATGGTCAAATAAAACCTTAATTTAGTG